TATGACTTTGCTACACATATTCTCTCAAATCCCTTCATTTTGTTGAAAATGGCTTCATTTCATCCTTTCTTGTGGATATATATAATAATCCCTGGTGTGGATATACCTCATCTTCTTCATCTAATCATCCCTTGATAGACATTTAAGATGCTTCCATTTCCTATCTATTATAAACAATGCTGCTATCAACATTGTGGGACATATGGGTTTTTGTGTTGATCATATCATATTTTTTGGCTATATGCCCCAGAGTGGGATTGCTGGGACATCTGGTAATCCCATTTTTAGTTTTTTAAGTTAAATCCAGATTGCACTAAATTGCTTCCAAAATGGTTGCACCAGTTTGCATTACCACCAACAGTGTAATTTTTCTTTTCATCCTCTCCATCACCTGTTGTTGGAGGTCTTTTTAATATGTGTCATTCTCATGGATGTGAGATGGTATCTCATTATGATTTTAATCTGCATCTCTTATTCAAGGTAATGATGAACGCTGTTTCATGTCTTATGGTCTTCTGAAGATCCTTTTTGAACTGTCTGTTCATATCTGCTGTCCATGTATTAATTGGGTTACTTATTTTTATTGTTGATGGTATGAATTTTTAGTATATCTTAGACAGTAATCCCTCAGTTGTTATATATTGTATAAATATTTTCTCCCATTCAACAGGATGTCTTATTGATCTGCCTATTTTTGTAAGTGGGGTACTAAAGTTCCCTGGTATTATTGTGTTGTTATCAATCTCTTTCTTTTTTAAAGATTGATTTTATTTATTTATGCATACAAGAGCTGGGGTGTAGACCAGAGGTGTGGAGAAGGGTGAGAGGATTCACCAGAGACAGAATGGGGAGCAGAACAGGCAGATTGACTGAAATAAACTGCTGAGGGGAGCAGCAGGCAAGTCAGGAGAGGTCTGCTGCACCAAGTGGGTTAGTCCCCCGGCCAGAGATCAAACTCGTGGGGCAGTGGCTACCAATACCTTCATAGTGCTAAGACTTAACCAATACCTTCATAGTGCTGAGACTTAACAAGACTTACTTGTGCCACCAGGAAGGCCCTCAATCTCTCTTAAGTTCTATTATTGTTCATGTATCTCAGTGCTCACTGAGTGCATACAAACTTATGAATGTAATTTCTTCTTGTTTTATTAGACTCTTAATCACAACATAGTGTCTGCCTCCATCTTTGATTACTTTTCTTAATTGGAAGTTTATTTTATCATATAGCTGTTCCTAATTTTATTATTATTATTATTGGTTGCCACTTGCTTGTATAACTGCCTTCCAGCCTTTAAGTCTAAATCTGTGCTTGTCTTTGTTGGTAAGATGAGTTTCTTTGAAACAACAGAAGGTTGGCTTTGTTTTAAAATTCCATCAGCCATGCTACATCTTCTGACTGATGAGTTCAAGGTGTTTATATTTAAGGTGATTATTGAGACATAAATGCTCATTGTCATTTTGTTATGTTTTTGCTTTTTGAGTTTTTGTTTGTTTTGTCCTTTTTATTTTTTGAGGGCATCCTATTATATCTGCTTAACTTTCATTTCCATTGTCTTATGTGTTACTTCTAAGTTTTTGTTTTGAGCTATCTACTGAGGTTAGTGTATGGTGAGCTGTTGTAGTGATCCATTGGATGGTGTGGTCTCTAACTCATTCGCATGGACTACATTGTTACTTTCTTCCTCCTCCATGTTGTGTTTTAAGTATCTGTTGACTTGACATTCATTGTTTTGTTCTTTATAGTAGCCCCTTTAGAATTTCTTTCACTTGTGGTTCGGTGTTGAAAATTTTTTAATTTTTTGATCCTCATGAAGCTTCTTATTCCTTCTTTTGTCCTGGATGTTAATCTTGCTGGGTAAAGAATTCAGGGCTGGAAAACTTTCTCTTTGAGAACTTTAAATATCTACTTCCAGTACCTTCATGCTTGTTATGTTTCTACTAAAAAGTTCACTGAGAGTCTGTCTGGTGTCACTTATAGGTTATCCTCTTTCCTCTTGATGTTTTTAATATTCTGTCTTTGTCATTGGCTTTCAGTGGCTTTATTATGATGTGTCTTGGTGTGTGTCTATCTGGTATTATTTTGTTTGGAACTCTTTGGCCCTCCTCGATCACAATGTCTTGTTTCATTTCCCAGACTGAGATGATTTCCACTAGTTATTTCTTTAAATAAATATTCTATGCCTTTCTTTCTCTTCTCCTTCTGAGACTATGATATGGAGGTTATGTCTCTTTAAATTGTCCCAAAGGTTCTTACATTATTATATTTTTTTATTCTATTAGTTCTATTAGTGTGATCTCTAACATTGCATTTTTGAGCTTATTAACTCCCTCCACTGATTCTGTTTGTCTGCTATTGAGACCCTCAATTATATTTTTTAAAGATTTATTTATTTGTGCATACAAGAGCTGGGGTATAGACCAGAGGTGTGGGGAGTGAGAGGATTCACCAGAGACAGAGTGGGGAACAGAACAGGTAGACTGACTGAAATAAACTGCTGAGGGGAGGAGAAGGAGAGACAGGAGAGGTCTGCTGTGTCATGTGGGTTAGCTCCCTGGCCAGGGATTGAACTTGTGCTGCAGAGGCTGTGGATCACTTCATAGTGCTGAGACTTAACCCCTTGCACCACCAGGGAAGCCCCCTCAATTATATTTTTATTATATATAATTTTTCTTAACTCTTATTTGTAATTGTAACTGATCCATATTTACTTTATTCTTTTGTGTTTTTTTTAAAGATTTATTTATTTATGCATATAAGAGTTGTGGTACAGGCCAGAGGTTTGGGGGGTGAGAGGATTCACCAAAACAGAGTGGGGAACAGAACAGGTAGATTGACTGAAGTACACTGCTCAGGGGAGCAGCGGGCGAGACAGGAGAGGTCTGCCTCGCCATGTGGGCTGCTCCCTGCCTGGCTGGGGATCAAACTCGTGCTGCAGAGGCTGTGGACAGCTTCATAGGTTGCATCTTAACCCCTTGTGCCACCAGGGAGGCCCTATTCTTTTGTTGTTTTATATGCTCTGGTTTTGTTTTGTTTTGTGAGTTGCATGTTATTAGATCTGTTACCTTGAATTCCTCTTCTGTCATGTTCTGTAATTCTGCTGAGTTGGGGCCCCTCTCAGGGCTTTTTTTCTCAACATTTGTAGTGTGTTATTCTGTCTTCTCATTTTTCAATTTTTATGGTTGTAATAAGGTTAGATTTTTCACACTATCATCTTTGCACCAGCTGAAATAGTCTGAGGGCTGGTACTGGCAAGGGTTAGCAGATATAAAAGACAACTGGGGGAGTGGGGTACCAGAAGACCACCCTCAGTAAATAGGAATTCAATCTTCCTTCTGTGCTGTGGATGCCAGAGTTTTGTGGTGGGAGTCTACAGTGATGTCCTCCTCTGAGCCAGTTCCTCAGTCTTAGTGTATATTATAGTCTCGTGCCCACTTCCACTCTAGGCTACTTTTAAGTACAAGATGCAGTTGGGCAAAGGTTGTAGGTGATATAGAAGTATAGGTCAGAAATTGTTCTCTTTTCTAGTAAATAATTTTATTCTGGGATGTTTGCTCCTGTTATTGATAGGTTATTGAGCTCTAGTTTGTTAAAACATCTCTTTGTTTTGATGGGGGTAGCAGGTGTTTTGAATTTCTCAGCCTGAACTTTAAGTAGTGTCCTCATCTACAAGGAAGCCCAGGTGCTCTAACCTGCCCATTTATCTGTGAAATGTGAACCTCGAAGAATAGTCATAATGCAGAAGTGAATTAATTATATGTAGTGTGTTAGCAGCAGAACTTGGCATACAATAATTACTCAGACATTGTCAGAAGTTTCCATTGCTCTTCACTAATAGAGGTGTTATTGAAAACTTCCCATTTCTCCAGCACAAATGTATGCTGTGAGACTGCCTGGCAAAACAGAAAGACATTTTTGAGTCAGACACATTTGACTGTAAGTCTCTGCTCTCTTATTTAACCTCTCTGAACTCAAGATTTCTGTAATATTAACACAGTACTCCCCACTGGGAATGGTTATTATGAGGATAAAATCAGAAATCTTTGAGCAGGAAGTTGTACACAATGAATGTTCTATAAATGCTAGGTTCTTTTGCTACTCAAAAGGAGCTTCCTATCCTAATTTAAATAGTGCATCTCTGCCATCTACCACTAAAGAAATCCCGGTGACAGGAGGGTAATTTCAAACTCTTTCATACACTTATAGTTTGTGAATAAAGTTCATTTTTTTCCCCAGAAATTACACTTTCTTGCCATTTTTAGCATAGGAACATGAATATGGACATCTTACATCTGAGAGAGAATAGTCCTCAAAGATTCTGTTTGGTTCCCAAACCATCCGTGTTTTCCAGCGCCAGCCAGACCCTTTTCCAACCATAATCCACTTCCTCTTCCTGCTCCATAGCCACCATGAGCAACCAGTGTAAGAAAACATAGGCACCAACCCACATAAAACACTCTTGGTTGTCCTGGAAAGCATGGATTGCCTGGGCTTTTGTTTTCAAAACTGACTACATGGTTTCCTTTGGCACAGCTGTGAAGGTGGCAGAGTTTGCTCTGGATGCCTGCCCCCCCCCACACATACCTTGTTCTGGGTCCATGAACTTACCTCTTTCTGGCTCATGTGAGCCATTTGCATCTTGATATAAAGTTTATTTAATGATGTCTAAGTTGCTATGTGTCCACTCAAGAGCAGTTGTATTTTAAGACTCTTTCTCAAGGTAGAATGAAAATTTTATCCATCTAAGGAAATGGAAAACTAGTGAGAGCAGATGGATATTCCTGCAGAAGGATCCTTTGCCCAATCCTTGAAATCTTGCTTCCCCTATACTGTGGCTGATTCTGAATGGATAATGTACTGCAAAGACTTTCCCTCTGATAGACATTTGGGGATTGTTAGGACAGTATAGCACAGATATAAGAAAAAGATTAATGCATATGACTATCAATAGCAAATTACAAAAATGCTCCAATGAGACTAATTGAGTGTCTTTGGATTTCAGGGAACAGATCCGTCAAGGTCTAGAAGAACTCCAGAAGGTCCTGCCAGGAGGAGACACTTACATGCATGAAGGATTTGAAAGGGTAATTTTAAAACAATTTTCAACTCCAAATATAAATGTGGTATGAAAACACCAGCATACAGATGGCTGATGAGATAAGGCACATGTATTAAGGAAACTGAATAACATCTAATGTAAGACACTAAAAAAATTTCCCATTAGCTTGTACACTAATAACTATCCAAAAGAATTGAAGAAATGAATTTTCTTCCTCCTTCCCTGACACCAATAAAAGGTTTGTTATCTAATGTTTAACTAGCACCCATGAATCATGCCACAAATAAGTCCCCTCCATTCATTCCCCTGGTGCTTCAGCAGTTGAGACAGAATGTCAATGATTTCAACCTTAAGGAAAACAAGTCTAAGTCTAAGTCAACATGGGTTGATCCATGTCCACAGTTGAGTAGTTTCATGTTAGAGTCACTTTAGCTGAATGTCAGCCATGGATATTGAGTGAAGCCTGGGTGAATTATATAAAGAATCAAGGCTGAGCCATGGCGGTCCCCTCAACATCAGATCCCACAACCCTACATGGTCTTTGAAATGGCATACAGTGACTTTATGTTTAATAGCCCTTTCATGTGTTTTTCAGGCCAGTGAACAGATTTATTATGAAAACAGTCAAGGTAAGACTATATAATGAATTACTTAACTTTTTGTTGCATTTGTTTTGGAAAAAGTACCCTAGTCATTTCACATTTCAAAAAATAATGTCTATAATCCTTGGACACATACTTCATCTCAAAGAAGAAATGCATCAGAAGACAGCATGTATTAAGTCAAATGTTGCTGTCCTGTTGCTGCCAAGTTATAGTAAAGTAATTAAGATCCTATTATAAGCTGTAGTCTATAATACCCTTGAAAAGATTTGTTTGTTGAATTCATTTAATTCATAAATACTTGGATGGGTCAGTAAAGTCTTGACTTCTTATGTCCATTTTAATTTTCTTATCCTCTCTCAGCCTCAAGCTGAGACTAAATACTGTGACCAGATACAATATTAAGGTTAGGATGCCAATTTGGCATAAACTTTCCTTCCTTTAAATTTTAAAAAAAATGTATAAAATGTACTTTACTAAGTACATTTCTATATGCCCACCGCATAGAAATAATATTGATTATAATAAGATCCCTACATTTCTAGATTACTACTCTAAATTACTACCATTATGGTATATTTCATGGACAGCATTTCTTTATCGAAGACCAGTCTCACAAAAGGGATTCAATATTACAGTGAGGATTTTTCCTCCAAGGCCTGTAGAAGTGTGTATATTCTGTTTCATTCTAAACTACAGCAAACAGAACAGACCCAACATCTACACCATCAACACCAACCCACCCTTGTTAATATAAGTCAGTCATCAGCAATGTAACTCCAAACCTAAAAATCACTGAAAAAATTTTAGTAAGTTTTGCCAACTGCTATAATAACTACCCATCAACTTCTAAATCATGGTGATAATTACTCTTTACCAAATTTTGCAAGAGGTGGTGCCTATTAGTCAGGACCCTGAACAAATCAGGTGGTAGAGTTTGCTCTCAGGCCTTGGGTATAGTCACATGAACTGTTAATAGAATATCACCACATTTGACTTCTTTAGCTATCAGTCCTATAACCATTTCACCAGGTTTGGCCATTTTTTGAGATAAGACTGAGAAATTCAGAAATAAAACCTCTTTCCCTAGAATCTGTTCCCACAGACACGTTCTTCTTCATGTAGGAGTTGCTTCAACACCCCTTTCCCCTACCCCCCCACGGAATTGCTGATTCTCATAATATTGACCTCAGGTGGCTGAGCATTTAAGGGACAGACTCTCAGGGAGGGGGTTTCCCACAGTGCTACAGGTGGACTGAGTGGTCTGTATTGTGTTGAGCAGGATACAGGACAGCCAGCGTCATCATTGCTTTGACTGATGGAGAACTCCATGAAGATCTCTTTTTCTATTCAGAGAGGGAGGTAAGCAATGGTCTGGCCCATGTCTAAATGCAGACATGGAAACAGGGTTTCTTCCTTCTGAAAAATGGGTGGCAGTTTTTCTATTTGGACAAAATGATAGGATTTCTTGGTAAAACTCTTGGGTAAAAGAATGTCTCATATGTAAAAAATGATAATTCATTTTAAGTGAAATTTTGCATCTTACACATGGTACATCATTTTGCCCTTTTCAAAGTATTTGCATTTACTCTGTGTTTTGAGGGATATATATATATATATATATATATATATACACATATATATATAATATATCTACCATGTCTTTATGGAAAACACCATATTTACCTAGCAGTTTTAAAATGCCACATATTACTTTTAAGCCAAAATTTTGGTACCATTTTTCCTCTACTCACCCTCATATTTTCTAGTAAAAACAAGAGGAAGGGAAAGTGTTACTTGAAATATGAAAGAACCAATCTTATCAGAAGAATGTGCCAAATTGTTGAGACTCTTACTCTAAGAATCAAAGTTTCACATTAATTGGTGGCAAAGTAAATTGTAATCTCACCTTCAATGTATCCTTTTCCCTTTGATTTATGGTCTCAATAAATACACCTTAAAGCTAGTGAAAGAATTCTCTAAATGAAATTTTCAGTTTGTATAAAGAACTTCAGAAAATGAGGTTTATTCAAAAATTAAAAGTATTACTTGTATGTAGCAAATCCTTTCAAGTTCTAGATTTAAGATATATATATATATATATATTAACCCAAGGAAACCAAGTTCTCCTTGGAAAAGCATGAAAAGCATGAAAACCTCACATTGACAAATGCTCATTCAAGCCAAGTTAGAACAAAACACAAAAAAGGAAAAGGTAGGCAGTGAGGGAGGGACATGCTGGCCTCTGGGAGTGAAGGTAAACAGTTTACACTCACCTCAAGCTTTTGACTGTTATTTAAATTCAGCTCCCCTGGCATATAAGAAGTGTGTGGGTATTTCCCGCCTTTGAAAATTTTAATCACGTCATTTTACTTTCTCGAAAGACCTACATTAATATCTCTTTGCACTAAATGAAAGAAACCCAGGAAGGATTTTCCCTTTTATGACAAAAGGCAGAAAAAGGAAACAGCATCCAGCATTTATTTGCGGCAGCTGCATTAGAGGCAGCAGGTACCCCAAGTAGCCAAAGCAACACTAAGTGCTTTCCCTAGAACTACACTGTCCAGACCGTATATTAATAAAGCATTCCTGCTTTTACTATATGTTAGTGTTATTTTAGGTTTTATGTGTTATTTGTTATGACTAGGTAGGTTATTTTGGGGATCTGGGAACTCTCAAACATTTTCCATTGAAACTAATGGTAATTGCTTCTTTGATTTAAGCCATTTTAACTTATGAAAAGTTTCATAGGCATGATCTACTTTTGGATAGCAGGGGAAACCTACATATTCATTCATTCATTCATTTATTCATTGTTAACTGAAAACTTGACATATGCTGGACATCAGTCTGGACACTAGGGACACAGAGATGGGTAAGACACAGTTGCTGCCCTCATGTAATATGTTTAGTTTTTAAAAGACTCTCCTGGCAAAGAGCATGAGGAAATTATGTGGGTAAATACATTACCTCCCTCTACCACCGTACAACTAGTACAAAGGATAATTCACATTGGGAAGACACACAGTAAATATGACAGATGTCCCTTGGGCATCCGGAAAATAATATATTACTATAATCTAAAGTTAAAATTAATGATGTAAAAAAGGGAGTCCAAAATGGCTTATTTGGATGCCAAAAAATAGTCAAATAGAGTAAAAACCCTAATAAGGAAATAACTGAATATAAAATAAATGACAGTGTCAGAGGCTTAAAATAGGGGTTAGCAGAAAAGAATTTTAGGTATGGTGCATAGAAACTTGGAAAAATATTTAGAGTGCCAATGCCTAGGAGCATTTCTGAAAAAGTTCCAGATATATAAAGAAAAGGAACCATTTGTTTTTATGATTCAAAAATTGAGCCCAACTGAAGGAGGAGAGCCACAGAACTTGTTGCAGATAAAACTGGGGCTAAACTATCTAAATGTTTGTTTTATCCTGAAAGCAGCAAGAAATGTTTCTAACATAAAGGAAGAGACATGCATATTTCTATCATTTCTAAAATTAAGTGTTAGTCACAAGTGGATCTGGGGATTGAGAGGGAGAAAAATCATAATTCAAATCAATATGCATATATTGAGAACCAACTGTAAATTTACTACTATTTATTTAGTACTGTACATACCAATGGTTTACAATTTTTGTTTTTTATTCTAAAACACAGAAGAACCTGGGAATCAGGTATCAGAGGATTTAATAAATAAATTTTACAATCAAGCCAAAATCTGGATATTATTCATTATGCTACCCTCTAATACCTAATGATAGAGAAGGTCATGGGTTCATCTAACCACTCAAATATGGACCATAATCCCCATACAATTAACCAATAATATATCCCGGGAAATTGAAAAAGGCCCTGTTCACAAAGATGCTGACATGTAGGAGCAGCTGCATTGTCCTAAGTGTAGTGTGAGCAGCTCTGCCTACATTATGTCCTTTAGCCCCTCAATACTTCACAGAGGAAAGCCAGGTGTCAAACCCAGGCATACTGATTCCAAAGGTTGCTTCCTTTCCATTTATACCATGCTTCCATTACAAAGGAAGAAAAGAATATCAATAAAAATCCATCAGAAGAATAGAAAAGATAGTATTTCTCCAGAATATTTAATAGGATTTACCTTAGCCTACAGGTTCCCTCCCTCCTCTCATCTTTTAAAGCCCTTGATCAAGACTCTACTTTGATGGATCTTTCTCAATACATCCTGTCCACCATGCATTGGGTTAGAATGTTATAGTCACTAGAGCATGAGTTTTTTTGGGACAAGGATGGTCCTCTCCACTGTGGGACCTAGTTTATATTAGGTGCTCACTAACCAAATATACAGTGCTTCGAATGATCATTTGGTACTCTGGCTAATCCAAAAGGATTACATTTGCCACAATATTTTCTTTCTCTTTTATTTCCTGAATGGTTTTTACTTTTTAATTTTTTTGTAGTGACATTATTGAAGTGACATTGTTTATAACATTATATAGGTCTTGTGTGTATGGCATTATTCTAATGTCTGTTTTTTTCATTGACCTAGGCTAACAGATCCCGAGATCTTGGCGCAATTGTTTACTGTGTTGGTGTGAAGGATTTCAATGAAACTCAGGTATGATTGTAGATTTCTTGGGTTTGGGAGCATGCTAATCTTGTGAATGAATGAGAAAAGATGCATTCCATGCAGAGGATGCATCGGCAGCACAGATACTACTTAGATACACTATATTTCCAGAAATGCAAAACAGAGAAGGAAGTATTGGATGTGTAAGGAACATGAAGTCATTTGCCGATATACATGGGTGTCTAGCACAGACCATTCAGGCATCATCTTTCTTGATTGACTTTCTTGATAAATTGAAAAAAAACTTTTGTGTTATTAAATCGTCAAGATGTCCAAAAATCTGAATTAACTTGGAAAATTTCTTGATTTTATTGATTTTATTGCAAATATTTCTTTCTCATTAAAAATACAATGTGTTTTCTATATAAAAGGGAAATGATTGGTAAGTGAGAAAAAAAAGGATGTGTAAGTATATATGAGCAAATGGTGAAAGTTTTCTGACAACTTAAATAAATGTTCTTCAGTGTAGTTCTTAATTTCCTTCTGTTTTATTGCCATTGGATGATGTTAATTATTTATGATTTATTGATTAAAATATGGCTACAAAAATATTGGAAAATTATGAGTCCACTTTTAAAACAAGTATGTGTATATTTACATTAAAAGATTTGAAAGATTATATATCAAGTTAACAATAAAAGAAAGATAGATGAATCAATAGATAACAAGTTACTTTTTTTCTTTTATTTTAACACTTCTGGATTTTCTCAGTGACTGTGTTTTACTTGGAAAATCAATAAAAATCCTGGCATTGACCACAATTGTGGCAATCACAGAACCATACAGAGGTTTGAGAATAGAAAAGCTAACAGATCAGCTTTTCCTTTTTCTAATCCTTTGCTCCATAAAGCAGAAGCTGCTAAACTAGTTGCAAGTGTCCTTTCCTCAATGAATTTGGGTGAAAGCTGCAGGTCCTTGTTCATTGGCTTCACCCAAAATCAAAACCTGATTTATTTTTAAAGTTACTCTGAAAAGAAACGAGTCTGATTCTAATACAATTGCCAACAGATATTTGGGTGAATGGAAGAAAATGGAGCCAATGGCTTGCCCCCAAATTTCATAAATAGATCAAGCCAGGCCAAATATTCATCTAACCAGGCAAGCTTACCTCTGCTCTCAAGGCAAAAAGCATTAAAAGAAATGTAAACTCTGAAGTCGACCCTCTAAGCTAATCCAGGGAGGTACCTGGTAAGATCATTATCACTGAGGGCGTTTCAATGGGGCCCCTAAGTCCAATAGGGCATCAAGTTCCTCTGGGATCTAAAAGTAGATCAAGCCCCCCTGGATCCAGTGGCTTTCTTAAATTCTCTACATCCTAGCCTGACAAAGCTCCATGTGTTGTGTGTGCTATGTTCTTAGCTGGCCCGGATTGCAGACAGTAAAGATCACGTGTTTCCTGTAAATGACGGCTTTCAAGCTCTGCAAGGCATCATCCACTCAGTGAGTACAGCACTGGCCCTGTGACTGGTGCTCAGGCACTTTCTTCCCCAACTTTCTATAAATACCCCAATGCTGTCTCTCTCAGGCTGTCATTTTTTTGCTTGAGAGAACATGCGTTTAGTTTCTATATATCAAGTCCCACTTCCCTCTGCCTTTCATGCTAGCTTCTTTCTTCATTCTCCTATGCATTTCTACTCTACAATGGAAAATTTTTAATGGAAGGAAACCCTTTTCTGGCAGAGCCAAACTTCAGCTATCCCAGGTTCTCATACTGGAAAGACTGTGGCTGATGGTGTGCACTTGACTTAGCCTCAGCTTTCCAAAACATGGCTGAACACTAGCTGCCCACAGAGCACTTGCAATCTCAGTCTTTATCACTTGACCATGGGAGATACTTTGAACTGGCAGTCCTCTACCTTTGCTGCCCAGTGAAATCAACTGGAAAATTACCAATACTAATCAATGTCTGGACTTCTGATCTGGGGAACAGCCTGGGCTTTAGAATTTGTAAGCTCTTCACAAGTGATTTTAATGGAGCCCCTGCTTTAAATCTCTAATTCCCACATATCAGGGTGTTAATATCCTCTAGGCTTTAAACAATCAGTAGCATTCATTTCCATCCCAGTCTGTGGCTAGAACAACCCTTGAAAACAACTAGTTTTTCATCTCCCCCTTTTTTATCAGTGAACAGGACAGCATCCTCATCTTCCCTCTTCCATACACTGGGCAGGCTTTTGGTCAAGTTGGAATATTGGATGTTGCTGGTCTTCAAAGGGTCAGCCAGAAGGCCAGTGTGTGGTCTACACTAATGAAGTCAGAGACACTGCAGCCTCCACCTTTAGGTTTTATGACCAGGAAGTCAGCTATTCTTCTAGTGAAAGCACACCAAACTCCACATTGGGATGCAGGACACAAATTCAAAGTTCAGAGCCATCTTAAGATGTCAAGGGGTTAGCATCCAAGGGCTTAGGATCAACCCTAAGACTCCTCCACCATATGCCTTCATGCTCCATCATCTGCCTCCAAGTTTTGCTAAGAACTGCAGCAGAGTGAGTTATTTCAGTTCTTTCCTTATTTGTAAAGAAGGATTGATGATAAAATTTATATCATAGGCTTGCTTAACGACTACAAGAGATAACATTAGTGAAAATGCCTAATATTTTTCCAAGCATATAATAGGTACTCAAGGTACCTCTTTTCCCCATCATATGAGAGGCATTATTTTTGGTTTCACATAATTTTCCCTTGAATATGTATAAAATTACCTGGGAATTTTACTCACTTTCAGATCTTATTCCATAAGAATCTATCACAGTCAGTATGGGATAAATCTTAGGAATCTGCATTCTTTAAATCTGCATTTTTTAAAATAAGTTCCTCAGATGTACTTTAAGAACACTGCTGTAATGTGACCTCAAGTTCCCAGAATTGTGAAAAATAGTCCCACCTCACCTTGGGAATTCCTATCTTAAATCTGTACAGATGACAGTCACCTTATTCAAGACATGTCTGTTTGCAAGGAAGAGAAACCCACTCAACCTACCTTAACTAGAAAGTGGAAATTCTTGAAAGGATAAAGAAGTCTTAGTCTTAATTATGGATCCCTAGGTGAGAGACCTCTGCTCTAAATAATTTCTGGGGTCAGTGCAGCATACTTGAAATATAAACAAGAACTGTAATATCAATATGTAACAATACCCTTGCAAAACATGATTAACAGCAGGATTTGGGGGTGATCATGATTTCTTTGGCAGTTCAGAAGTAGATTATTCTGGCTGGAGGCCTCCTGAGAGTTTGGAGAAGACTGGAATCCCTGAAAGCCCAAGGGATGGTGAAGGTAGCACCAGAGAAGAGGTTACATAGTGTGACATGATAGTCCTAAAGCTGGAAGAGAATAAAGCATAATCCAAGGACAATACTAATATTGCCAATCTGTGTGATGAGAGAGTTTTGGTAAAGAAGCCAGGAAAGTAGAAAGTAAGTTTAGACTTTGGGTTAGAACCACACTGACAAGAGCCTTGAAGGGGGGTTGACTCCAACTTAGTGGATGTAATCATGTGAACATTTTGACCATCTATCAAGTGATATTTAGGAAGAGACTGCGAAGACAGTGTCTGTATATATAAGAGGGAGACTGGGCATATCCAGAAGCAGGAGCCCAATTATGAGGCTACTGCTGAAGTCATGCCTTCAGATGTGGGATTCCAAGCAGGGACAAGTCATATCTGTTCAGAGGTTCTTATGAGCCATGTGCCTAACATCTTATAAGGGTTGATTCTTTTTTTTTTTTTTAAAGATTTATTTATTTATTTATACAAGCACTGGGTACATTCAGAAGCGTGGGAGGGTGAGAGAACTCACCAGAGCCAGAGCAGGGAACAGAACAGGCAGACTGATGAAGAAATACACTGCTGAGGGGAGCAGTGGGCGTGGCAGGAGAGGTCTGTGCGCCATGTGGGACCCTCGCCCGGTGGCCAGGGATCGAACCAGCGCTGCAGAGGCTGTGGACAGCCTCGCAGCCCAGCGCTCAACTGCTGCACCACCAGGGGAGGCCCAGGGTTGATTCTTATCCAAATAATTAGAATATTTTTATTTATATAAATTGATATCCATGAATATTTTCATCTTAGCAACTTACCCAAAATCAGCATGAACCCCAGTGCTTGTAAATCTCTCTCTACCCGCAATGGAAATAATTCCAAAGGTGTTTAAGACATTTTAGTGAAATGGAAAAGGAAAAAAAAATAATAATTTGAGACTTGAGTCTCCAGACTTTTAGCTGAATGATAACATTCCTATGAGCTTTTATCTGGGAGTTATGCTAGTGGTTTTGATCCTTCTACTACTTGAAACCCATGTTTATGGCAGTTGTTAATTCGCTTGCTTGGATAGAGAATCAGGGACAAGCACAGCAGGTCTCATCTTTCTCAAGTCAGACAAATAATTATGGCCTAAAATTTGGCTATTTTTAAGAAGTGGGTTCATTTCTCCTTTGGATACTAAAAAGAAAGCTCTCATTTTTTTCCCCCCAACTGAAGCATCTATTCCAGCTTGTTCCCATGGATGGGATGTTGTTTTGTGACTGGTTATTTTCTCATAATAAGATAGACTGGGCTTTATGATACAAAATGGGAGTGCAGAGAAAACTTTCAGTAAGCTCAACTAGTTCATTCTCAGTCTATTAAATCCCAAATCAACCCGTAGGAGCTAATGTTTACTCACTCATTAAGAACACACTGAAAACATTTCATATCCATTAACTTACAAGTAAAACAGATAGAGAAGTTGTGCTGACGGAGCTCACAATCAAGTGTGAGGGACACATAAAAATAAATGCACATAATTAAAATTGTGATAAATGGCATAAAAGAAGTAGCTTACTACTGAGTTTAAGAATAAAGGAGTTGATCAAAAAAAACAGGCTCCTTTGGAGAGATTACCTGAAGGGTGAAATGGAGCCATTCATGGTAGAGCAGAGTCCTATATGGTGAATAGCAGAATGAAAGAAGAGCAGTGTGTAAGGTGGATAGTGGCAGAAAATGAAGTGAACAAGCAAGGAGGGACTAAATCATATGGAGTCTAGCAGGACATAGTATTATACTCAAAGACAGAGGAAGCGCTAGTCGGATACAAAGTCTGACAACAGGAACTATCAGCTTGAAATCAAGACTCTCAAGGAATCTAGATCATGGCCACTTTATTCATAACCCTTAAAGACGATGAAAAAATATACACTCAGAATCAGCAGTAATGAGCCCTGTGAAGAAGAAGAAAAGCAACTATGGCTTATTGAATATCTTCTTGGTGCCAACTCCTCTGCTAGGCACTTCCACAACCACTCTGTGAAGAAGGGCTTAATATCCCCGCTTTACAGGTGAGGAAACTGAGGTGCAGGAAGGTTGGATAAATGGCCACACGTCTGCCACTCATAATGCGAAGTGGAAGATCTGAACCCAGGTCTGGCTGCAGAGATCCTTCTCTTATACGATACTCGGCCATGAGTGCCTGAGGAAATGGAAAATCATCACTGGATTACCAGAAGCTGATCCACGGCAAGGATTCTTCAAGTCCTCAGATTCTCTGCTTCCTTAATCTCATCCCTATATTGTGGCCTTTTCACTGTTCCTCAATCCTCTCCACTTCAAAAAAGATATGTGATTGGTATAATGTATTATTTTTCAAAGGGCTCTCCCTTGTTTTACACTTAAATCTCTCATCAGTGGGACACAGGGAAAAGGCAGAAAGAAATAAACAACAATAGATCACTTATTTGGGAGCCAAGCATTGTTCCTTTATCCCATCTACAGTATTATCCCCTTTAAAAATCATAACAACTCTGTGAAGGGAATATTCATATTCTCATTTTGTAGATTAAGAAGACACTGAACCTCATATAATTCCTCTAAGAACACACAGTTTAAGGGGGGGTAACTGGGTGTTGGAACCCAGTTCCATGACTTCAGAGCCCATGCTTTCTCCCACCTCTATTTCCTTAGGAAAGTAAAAGTAATGAAAACCAGAAGTTATGAGTTCTTATGTACTAGACTCTGTGCAAGTCATTTTACAGAGTCATCTCATCAAATTCTCATGAGCACTTCACATAGTTATTGTTTCCCTTCTACAAAAGTTTATTCTGTAAGGCAAAAGGTTAACTAACCTGTCCAAGGTCACACAGCATTGGGGAGTGATGAAGAATAGACTTGGGTCTGTCTCTAATGCTCATGACAAGAAAGGTCACAGTGCTCTACTGAATAACATGGGTATGTTGGGAATCCATTTCTGAGGAGACAATGAGACCGAAAATGTGAAATGATTTGAAGCAAAATGTACACAGTTACAATGGAGGCAAAACAAGACCTGTGTGAGTGCAGAGTTGGGGGCCAGAGCCTGCTCTGTCTTTACTACTAGGTGGAGAGAACCTCTCGAAATCTCAGTTTCTACTCGATGGCTGAAGTTCTATCATCATGACAAGCTGACAACTTAACATAGGCTTCCACACT